TATACGTCACAAGATGACCTAGTAGATGCAGGCTTAGATGAAGTACCATTGTGGTACGAAGATGAGCAGTGGGCGCTGTTGCGTGAGGTCCCTGATCCTGAGCCAGGTAAAGTGGGAATGGCGTTGATTCCTACTTGGGTGCGTGTGTACTAGGGGAGTAACTATATCAAGTATTGGAGATGCCGAGAATGTTTTATACATGCAGTGTAGGGTCGAATCAAATTGCAATATCTGAGAGTAAGAATTTCGTAAGGTGGCTAGGCGTCGCGTGAATGATATAATCATGTGGCTTTGATCAAAGGCAGCATGGCAGATCTCTTGCGGAGAACTGATATCGCCTAGAATCAGCCGAGAAGCCGATTTATTATCCCCAGTGATGATCACTAAATCTCATACACTAGATAGCTTTAGATGCACCTCCTAGCTTTGGTTCCCGTCCTAGAGCGGAAGATATCACAAGCTAGTACCAAGTGTTCGACAGAAATATACTTTGTTCGCATATGGTCATCGACTGCATCATTTTTACGTATATCCGGAGGTGCGGAGCTTATTAGAAGGAGTAAGATACTTCGACGTATACGAAGCCTGTAAATGGTAATTGATTTTTCTCAAGAACCAAACTAAGTTTTAATGCTGACCAATACTATCGTTCTCATAGATTACCCAACGCAGTTACAAAGCATGTGATGAAGCTGCCTTTGGCATCTAGATTGATTAGCTACTCACATCGAAATGTTGAAATCCCATGCTGATGCGGACTGCTTTCCCAACCCATGAGATTGCGAGCCAACGTGCCTCTAACGTCGATGGTGACAGCACCCCCTCGGAGCTCATCTAGTGCTCAAAGCTTCTGGAGTCCAGCCTTGCAAAGTCGTGTGATGTCTATCCGGGGAGAAACGGCATAGACGTGGCGATAGTTACCAGAACGCATTCTGGTCAAGATGACGATGTATAAATGGTGAGCATCCGCTAGATGGCTCCGGCCTCATCTATCGCCTTTCCCGCTTCCTGAAGTTTGACTCAAATCTTGTCTTTTATGATCTTCACCCCATCCGAATAGCAAAATGAGTTTCGTATTTCCAGAAGTTTTCGGAAATGGACAGGCGTGTCCAGAGTGCGGCGCTCCGTACAAAAAGATGGGCCGCAGCCAACCTCACTTCAGAAAGCGACACGATTCGACGAATAGCTGCCCTCACTGGAGCCACGGGTCCTCTAGAAACGATGAAGATGGCTGCAAACTATGCCGCTTGAAGTGGTGCGGGTTTGCAGGCCCTAAGTTGATCGGCAATAGCGTACGATGCCGGCTCGACCAGTCCATGGAAGAAATTCATAGCTTCGAAGAAGCCGATCTCTTCACTATCAACATGTCAACCGCCCTCATGACACTATGTATCGAAACCGATATCCCAGACGCAAAGATCGAACTTATGATCCAGTCAGCCGTTCGTCAACAGCCCCGACGGGTTCGTCACCCAGCTTGCGGACATGGGGTTGAAGTGTACGACCGGGTTTTGCTCTCGGGTGATCTCAAGAGACTGGTTGATGTGGCATACGAGATGATCAAAGTACAAAGCTCTAGGGATAACGTGTTGGACCTATGGGAGAGACCAGAGAAGCTGAGGGAGTGGAGGGACAAGATCAGTGAAGCACTTGGATGGTCGATTCCTACGGCTCGTGGTATTATGAGAGAGTCTGCGCTGTCCCATCAGTTGCGGTAGCGATAGGCATGGATTGTGTTGACCAACACTCCTGCGCCATATGCTCTCTACCAACGACGACTCTATCGCCCACCGGATAAGTGTTGCATCTATCACAAATCCATAAAACCAAGCTCTTGGGAAACTCTCCATGCCCATATTATCATCCTAAAATATCCGTCCTTGCGAGGAACGTAGTCCTGTTCCTCGGCGTCGTTTTCTATGCCACCGCTGCTATCACGTATTCGACGCTATTTGTTTTGCACGATGTTGAGCCTCCGAGCCCCAAGTACAAGAAACAGTTCGTGGTCGGCTGATGCTATATCATCGGATTGGGAGCAAAGCATAGTCTAAGCCGGAAAATCGAGTGGAAGGGCCTTTTCGTTTGGGAATGTCGCCAAGATGCGATGCGGGAAGGTTACTGTACAATATACGGGGAAATAAATAGTAAATGCTTTCAAGGAGCTTTATGGAGGACGTTGGTGATGCCGTCGTGACAGTATGTAATACTTATCGACGGGGCTGTCCGACGGAATGCAGAAAGGAAAGATTTACAGCCTTGTTTTGTTTGAACAATCCGGGTACTAGGTATAGTCTCGAAGGCGGCGTGCGGAGTTGCCGAGGAGGTGCAGAAACGCGATGGCATCCATGATGGACAGCGTTCACCCTGCAAGGCCTGTCAAAACGCCAGAAAAGCTTCAATCCCACATAAACCCACCGCTCTAGCCATAGTGAGACAATTGACAGCGAAGTCAAATGAACAGCCTTCCAGAAGGTCCCAACGGTTGATTCCGATTAATGAAACATGCAGGGAGCCTATGTTCCATCACAACCGAGACTCGGGAATTCGGATATGGAGCAGACGAAAAAGACGGTGACGCGCGGTGTCGTTGGAATTGGCATTGCAACTAGTTCGATAAGGAATGGTTGGTCCGTTTCGTCTATATTTTGGCCCCACACTATTATTTGGTGTATCACTAGGGATCCTCCACCTTCGGACCTGTCAGTTATTTTCTGCACGAGCATGGAGGTACAGAATGCTCTCCCTGTTCCATAATTCACCTGCATTACAACACTTTACAGTAGCCGTTCTGGTATGCATCTCAACAGATAAGGTGGTTTGAACCCTACCGACCTCACTTAGCGATGAATCGACTAGCTAGTTGACTAGCGCAAGTGTAATGTTTCGATATTACATCCAACCCCAAATGCCCGCGTCGATCACGTATAGAGGCGAGATGTCGGGAAACGGACAGAACCGAGGTTGTTAATTTCTTGTCAGTGGGTCGAGGAGTGAGCGGGTCGCAACATCTAACGTGGGGGCTCGTTCACGATTGCGATGCATGTCAACTTCATATAAGTATATAAACAAGTCCGCTTTCATTCCTCTCTTCCGTTTCCTCACAGTACACTGCAGTTCATTCTTTCCAGTCCTTTGTGGCACTTCCATTCATTCATTACACTCTTTTTGTACTTCATCGATTGAAGCTACTTCCAAATATCTTCGTTGATTTTCGAAGCTTGAACGTTACTGTTCCAACCCTCCACACCTCACCTCATCAAATACATCGAAATGGCTCCCATGAAGCAAGTTGCCGCCCTTGTGGGTGCCTTGGCCACGTCGGTCTCTGCCCACGGTCTTCTCTCCAAGATCACCGTTGACGGCACTGAGTACGAAGCCTACAACCCCAGCTTCCAGTACCAGGACCCTGCCCCCGAGGTCATTGAATGGAGCTGCCCCGAGTGCCAGGACAACGGTTATGTTGACCCGACCATGTACACCGATGTGACCAAGATTGCTTGCCACAAGGACGCCACCGCAGGCGCAAAGGTCGCCTCTGTCAAGGCCGGTGGATCCATCGACATCCAGTGGACCACCTGGCCCGAGTCTCACAAGGGTCCCGTCCTAGACTACCTTGCCAAGGTTGACGATGCCACCGCCACCGAGTCTGGCGATCTCCAGTTCTTCAAGATCGATCAGAAGGGTTACACCGACTCGACCTGGGCTTCCGATGAGCTCCTCTCTAACAACCTCACCTGGACCGTCACCGTGCCGTCTGACATCGCCAGCGGCCAGTACGTCCTTCGCCACGAGATCATCGCTCTCCACTCGGCCGGTCAGGAGGATGGTGCTCAGAACTACCCCAAGTGCATCAACATCGAGGTCACTGATGGCGGCTCTACCAGCCCATCTGGCGAGACCGCTGACAAGTTCTACACCCCTAGCGATGCTGGTCTTCTTGTCAACATCTACAGCGGCGACTTGTCTGGCTACGAGATTCCTGGTCCTGCTCTCTACGATGCTTCCGGCTCTAGCTCTGGTAGCGGCAGCACTGCTGCTGCTTCTTCTGCCGTTGCCACCAGCGCAGCTGCTTCTTCCGCCGCTGCTACCAGCGCCGTTGCCACCTCCGCTGCCGTTACGTCGGCTACCAGCTCTGCTGTCCAGGCCACATCCACCTCCCTCGCCCAGGACGTCCAGAACGTCCAGACCACTCAGACCACTGCCATCGTCACCTCCACCGTGAACGCCGCTGCCAGTGAGGCTCCTGCCGCCACCTCTGCCGCCGACCCTCTTGTCTCCCAGATTGCTTCCATCTCTACCGACATTCCCTCTGCCATCTACACCAGCATTCTCCCCACCGCCATCCCCACCGGCATTGCATCCAACGGCAGCGGTTCCGTACCCTCTTCCCCCATCCCCCAGGGCGTTACGATCAAGGATCTCCTTGAGTGGTTGTCCTATGCTATGCGCACCTACGTCAAGGGTGAGCGCAAGAGCGAGGGCAACAGCCGTGCTCAGAGCCAGAGCCAGAGCCAACGCCAGCACGCTCGCTCTTTCTAAGCATGTTACTCTTAGTGAGTTTGACTTGCTGATGGTCCGTACTTATGGTGGCTCCAGGGGAGCGTTTACTTTCTATTCCGACGTATATATCTTTTGAGGTCCGAGTGACTGCATGCTGCCTCTTGTATATAAATGAAAACGTGTACAAGCTTCTTAACTAAACTCTTTCTCCATTGTAGTGATTCTCCCTGACCAGTTCTTATTTCTACAACAACGAGCAAAATGTTCTCTTGGGTCTTTCTAGGTTATCCGGCTTCACGTTACGCCTGCTGCACCTTCCCGTTCCGCTGTCTCCCTTTGGTTACATCACACCCGCTTTATTCCTACCAACTCCAGCCTATCTATGTAACGTGATAATCCTCCCCTTCTACCGTGCTCGTGCTCGTTGTTCTGGGATACATGTTCGCGTAGTCAATATGTATTGGCCAGCCTCGTATGTATTCACCAATTCTACAAATACATCCGATGTAGTCCAGTGGTTAGGATTTCTGGTTTTCATTACATGAGAAGCCCCAGACGACCCGGGTTCAAATCCCGGCATCGGAAACTGTTGTTTTGTTTTTGCTCTCCTGGGTTGAGTGAAGGATGTCTCCTTTTTTTTCTCTCCTCTCAGCTTCTTCAGTTTGGCAGAACAGGAATTGAGAACAGCAAGACCCGACTGAGATGTGGGTTGGTAATTCTTTTTGTTTGATTAGCATTGTAAAACAACAACAGTATACGCGTCCTCATCTTATGAAACTCGGAGAAATTTCCGTGAATATAGATATCACGTGATGTGTTTCCTTCGTCCTTCGTATATACTACTACCTACGTTAAGCCTCGGCTACTTCATTTTTAGCTCATAGACCATGGCTTACTTACCTGCCTGCTTAGCGTGTTAGAATGGCTAATTCAATATAGTTTAAATGCTACTACATAGCTATTGCTTATGCACTCAGCCCTCGAGTTGAAGGAGTTAGCGATTGAAACAAGTGACTATTCCTTGCGAGGCATAAACATCTTCAGCTAGAAGTCCTATACAACTGCCGCTGTGTGTTAGCTTGAATATGGTCTGATCTGTCGGATACAGGCCCAGGATATCCCGGCTTTTATGCATGCCAGAGTTAGTTAGTTAAAATCCTTCATACAAAAAGTCTGTGCGCTAACATTTTTAAGTCTTCTGAGAAGAGCACTATAAGGCACGTGTCAAGCGTCAACGTCAACGCTAACGTTCCACGCAGAGTAACTATATAATTTGTCAGGCACATGCCGGAAATATAGAGAGTTAGAGATCGTTAATACGAAAGTCTATATATCGGTCCACCCCCTGCCTGATACAAGACCTCAACTCAAGACTGAATCATCTCGATCTCTACTATAGAGTCCCGACAATATGGCCAAAATTATTGCAACCCTAGTCTTAGCACTCTCCACCCTCGTTACGGCATCGATCGACACCTCGACCAGTTCCTCGGGAAACACAACCCTAATTTACCAATTCCCAAACGGTACATGGGTCGAGAACATAGCAGTTAGAAATAACAGCCAGCTCCTGCTCACTATATTCACGTCGCCCGATCTCTACTCTCTCGACCCCACAACATCAAACGCTGAACCCACTCTCCTTCATACTTTTGCCAACGCAACAGCAACATTCGGCATCACGGAATATGCACCCGACGTCTTCGCCGTGGCTGTCGGAAATTTTTCTCTCACAAGTGGAACCACCCCGGGCTCGTACGCCGTATATCGCGTCGACTTCTCCGCCAGCGAGGATGATAAACCAGATATCGAGCTCATAGCGGCGGTACCGGATGCTGATGCACTGAACGGCATTTGCACACTTCCTAATGACTCTGGATCTTTGCTGTTGGCCGATATCAAAAAAGGCCAAGTCTTCCGCATGGACCTAGAGACCGGAGAATCGACCGTCGTGGTGCCATCCACCAACTCACTCACCATGATTGCGGACAGTTCGTTTGGCCCTGCCGGTATCGACGGGATTCACGTTCTGGATGACTACCTTTACACGGCAAACATAGCCACTGGCGACTTCGGAAAACTCGCCATCACTTCCAACGGCACGCTTGTAGCGAACACGGATCCGGTTGTTATCGCACAGGCAGCGGACGGAGCATATTGGGACGACTTCGTGCTTGATGATGAAGGAAACGCGTATGCCGTTACAGGTAGTGGCAATACGCTTCTCATGATCTCGCCGGAGGGCGTGCAAACGCTTCTTGCAGGCGATTTGAATTCAACCGAGCTTGCTCAGCCAACTTCGGTGAATTGGTCGAGGGGTGAAGGGAATAAAAGGCTATATGTTGTTACGGCAGGAGGATTACAGGCGCCGGTCAATGGGGATGAGGTTGTGGGTGGGCAGGTGGTTGCTCTGGACTTATAGGAATTGTGGGTCTTGTGAATATCTGGAGTTTTCTTTACACAAAAAATGCAATGACGGCAGTTTATGGGAGGTGGTTAACTATATGCAACACTGTTCGAGGTTTTTCTATGTTACCTTCTTTTCACGTTTCACTCTTGTTAGCAGTGCTTTAACCTCAATGCTAGGATTAAATTACAGTGATATTTGATATGCTATATGGTCTCATTCGGGTTTCAACATATTGTTGCGGCATCTCTGAAGAGGTGCGAGGGTCTCGTCCGTTCATTTTATTGGCTGAATGCGAGATTCCATCCGCCTGTTATTGAGGAAATCGAGCAGGCGGCTTGTATCGAATGTGTAACGTCGCTATGGCAAAATGGGTTGAGCTTGCGACATCCGATTTTGCATGATCAGGCGGATTGACGAAATTTGATGGGACCAACGAGAAGATGGTCTCTCCTATATTCCTATATCTAAATTCATTGATAATAATGGTACATGTAGGAAACGGATAGTCGTCAAAATATGTGTGCATAACACTGGCGCTCAGGTGTATGTCTATCGGGGGGTAGACATGCGTATGCAACAAGGGGATAGTGTATTGCACGTGATTCTACTAAAGATATATATAAGAACATATGCCACGCCATCGGGTCTCTCTCTACTTCTTTCCCTTTACAAGGCTCCAAGAGTTCCGAGCACGGGTACATGATGTTAGCACCACCGCTCCAATCTGCACTTTGAATAAAGATTTCTCCTGCACTTCCCTCGGTCCCCAACTGAAAAACAAAAAAATTAGCCAATAACCGCCCATGTCCTGTTCTCTAGATCCAACCTTTTAACCCGAAATGGTGGGCTTCAATCGTTGATCGAAGCCTTTAACATCCCTCCTTCTCTCCTCCACTACGATCAGAGCCATTAACATATGTCCCAATGTCTAGACCTGTATTCTAAATTACAATAAACCCACATGGGTTCCTCTTACTTTCTCTTTTTCTGTTATCTTCTAGTTCTCTGCGCTCTAAAAAAAATGAACCTAATACATCTCCTTTCTCCAAAGTCCTAGAATATAGAGGACACAGTTCTCGCGCTTTAAGGTTATGCGCTCCCTACAACAAAATGGAACACTTCTACATAGTCGAGTCCGTCGTGTCCAGAAACATGCCAGAAGATATGCATGTGTTTTTCTCCTCTCCTACCTTCTCCCCTCTATTCTTATCGATCAAAAAATTCCCGTACAATAGCAAATGAGATCCTGGAACTGATCCTCGACTCTAGATTTCTCTTGATCAATAATATGTGTTTTCCAATCTTCGTCTACAAAGGGCAGAAACAAGAACAAGTTATACGCACGAAAAAACTAGCAAACACTAGGCTTATAGTCTAACCAGCTACACAACTCGTTTAAAAACACGTGTTTACCAATTATTTCTTTCTTTCGGGACTAACGATTGTCTAATTTCTTTCTGTTTTTGTCTCTCCTAAAAGAGAGAGCACGATAATTAACCTTTCTAGCGTAATATGTTCTAACTTATCTATCTATTAGTCGTTAATAATACACATGCTCTCTAGTTCTACAATTTACATTTACAACATAAGTCGAAAACTGCAGCCTATGAAAAGTAGTACAACTAGTTGTCAATGTTGCGAATCCGCCTCTCCCCTCGCATCCCTAAGCCTAGAACCTAACTTCTAAAAGTATACTAGAAAGAGATCATGATATGATAAAGAACATCTCCCATTTCTATCTCACTCTACAAAACTCCCAAGGTGTTCAAGATGTCGATTTATGCTGTCCCCTCCTACTCTCTCTATGTCTACTCTATCCCTGAAACAAGGAAATACGCCCGGTGAAAACGTTTATAAAAGTCACGAGGTCAAGAAATCTTTGCTAATACCAATGTCATTATCTATCTACCCAGGAATTAAAAAAAGGCCTACAATATTGGCATGTTTTCCATCGAGAAACACTAATTATCTAAAAACCTTTACAATTACCGTTATATAAAGAAGGAAGGTAGCGAAGCCCTGCAAGTTAAGGTGCCATAAGAGCGGCGAGGTTAGGTGAAGGATATCAATCTCTCTTAACACTAATGTCACTCTGTCTGGAAACATATGTTCCTCTGCGAGAAACCCCGAACAACAAAATATTACCCGAAACGTCGCTATGTAAAAGAAGAAGATAACAAAGATGTATAAATCCAGCTAGCTATAAGAGCTAAGAGCGAGTAAGCAACTCGAAATACTATTATTTACATCTATCTACTAGAGAAGCAAAACGACTTCTTTCTGCTTACGTTCTTCTGTGAGAAACTTAGCTGTTCAGAATGGGTTGCGTAGATCTATATGCTAGGGTAAAAGATAACGAAGATTAAGAAAATATCGACTATAGAAGTTAGGAGACTAAGCTAGCCTTATCTCTTAACGAGCGAGCAAAAGGACAAAACCTTCTTGATTATGTTACTCTGTAAGAAGATAAGCTACAGATATCTAAAAGACTTTACATTGCTCCTTCGCTGTTAGAGAAAAAAAGAATGCAGATTGAAATACAAAACTATAAAAATCATGTAATAATCTAACGTATGTAAGCAGAGAGACTAAGCGAGCTAGTATATCTCCTCTAATACTAGTATTAATACAACTAGTATTAATACAGCTTATTACCTAAGTATATAGGCACTTTATTATTTAAAATATATGCCTTCTTAGGTAATGTTAGAGAAGACGAAGACGAGGAGGCAGGTTGTAATAAGAAAAGACTTACTACGCTAGCCGCATGATAGTTGTAAGAGCTAAGAAAGTTATTTATTTAAAGTACCCTTTAAAAGCCTAGATGTTAGAGAAAGGTAGACAAAGATAAGACACATGTAGAAGATAACAAAAAACTATATTCTATAAACATATGCGAGAATAGTAGGATTAAGAAAGAAACTATCTATTATTATTGTTATGCAGATAGCGAAATCTACAAATACAAAATTAATAACGAGTTTTGTTAGAGAGATCACAAGCTAGAAATAGTAGGTTTAGGTAATTAATTAGAGGATTACTATCTTAGAGGAAGATAAGTAAAAGCTTAGACTATATATAAATAAGATAATCTAGATTAGATAAACGTACTCCTAATTAGGGACTACCGTGCTCTTATCTAAGCCTAAGCTAGCTAAGAGCTAAGCTTAATATT